ATGAAACGAAATACAGTAGGATGAATGCAAAACTGATGTTCTCCCATGTAAACCCATATAATTCACAATAAAAACTTAAAAAATTTTTTTTTTGCAGACTGTTAATGTTATGAACCATATGGTCCTTCACATATAAAGTTTCATACTGTGGGGATTAACACACATTGCTATGATATAAAAAGGCAGTAAACACTTAGGAATAAAGGTAAAAGAAAAGCAGACACTGTATCTGAGAGACCATTAAGCCAAAATTATTTACTGGAAAAACTTACAACTCAAAGTCACTGAAAAATATGACTAAACTAAAGAAAATAAGAAATTAAAAAAGTCAATGCTCATTTATTATTAAAAATGAAATCTAATAAAAATGTAATATGTTTTCTGTAGGAAACAGACTAAAAGTTTTTAACAAAGAAACTTACTTACTTGCCTAACTTACAGACATAAACTATATTATCTGTTTTATCACTGATAAAATCACCATAAAGGACAACTATCCTTAACTATTGTTGTTACTAAGTGCTGTCAAGTCCGTTCCAACTTACAGCAGTTACCCTATCTAGGGTTTCTGAGTTCTGGTAAGCGAGGTGGTTACAAGTTGGGCTGCTAACCGCAAGGTCAGCAGTTCAAAACTACCAGCCATTCCTGCAGGAGAGAGGCTTTCTGCTCCCAATTTACAACCTCGGAAACACCATGCAGGATAGCTATGACCACCACCATATTGGGTTTCTGAGGAGAGGCTAGCGGGTTTGAACCACAAACCTTGTGGTTAGCAGTCTAGTGCTTATTCTACAGTGCCACACCAGGACTCCATTCTTAACTATAGTCAAGACTTAATAAATAATTAATGGATGATTTTTAAATTTTTACTATATGCCATTAAGTTAATAAATGTGACACATCTTCTTGTTGTTAAGTGCCATCAACAGTAACCATGCATTGGTTTCTGATGAGTGGCTGGTAGGCTTAAACCACTGACCTTGCAGGTCGAACCAACTTTGTGGTCCAGTTCTTATCCTACAAGCACCATACCAGGGTTCTGAGTATGTATTAAATCAGATTTAAACACCAAAAGAATCATAAGATCAAGTTAATTTAGAACGGTTACTGAATTGGATGATTTATATTAATTTGATTTTCACTATTATTTATAATACTTTCATATTTAAATTCTGGCTCAAATTACTTTCTTTGAACATAAACCAACAGTACAGCATTTCTTATAACAGTTCCTAGAAGTCAACACTGCCACCCAGTTGTAACAAGTTTTATTACAGTGAGTATTATATGCAACTTAAAGAAAAGCATGTATGAACAGCAAAATAAAAATCCAAGTTGAAAAAAATAAATACCTTTAACACTGTAGGTGTTCAATCTAGATAAAAGTTAGATTAAAACAAAAAGTTGTATTAACGCATCCAAATAAGAAGTCTATTTACTAAATTGCATCTGGTCAGTTGTTGTTGTTAAGCACCATCGAGTCAATTCAGACCCATAGCAACCCTGTATAGGGTTTCCAAGGAGCAACTGGTGAGTTTGAACAGCTGACCATGCAGTTCAAAGGGCTTTGCAGTCTGGCGCATTAATGCACAGTGCCACACCAGGACTCAATCAGGTCAGTGAATTTTCAAAAATCGGCAGTATATCTTTGAAACCCAAGCCAAAACAATTCAGGTATTACCTATACTTTTAAAAATTATATAAACTTTAGAAGAGACTGGGCATGCTGTTGTGATTAATTCACCACAAAGGAGGACTATAAGTTACCTATATCTTATAAACTGTTGACAAACAACCATAGTCAGTTATAAAATAATTAAGTTATATAATTAATTAATACCTGAATTGTTTTGGTTTGGGTCACAGAGCTGTATTGCAGAGTTCTGAAACCTCCTTAGTATTATCTTTATATTCCACCATAAATCATTTCTGTGTAATCGCCAGCACTAACTGGGCTTGGGTTATCTAAAAACAGACAAAATACTGTAACAAGAGAGCTGCACTTATTTGGTATAGATAACACTCAATTTATTTTCTCAGTGCTAAAAAGCATCAAAATTTTACTTTTTTTGCTCGATCTAATATTTATGGGAGTCCCGGTATGGTGCAAAGCCACTCTGAACGCTAAGACTGGCGGTTCAAGCTCACCAGTCACTTCTTGGAAACCCTATACAAGGTCGCTATGGGTCAGAAATGACTTGACAGCACTTAACAAAAACAACAATAATTTATGACAAATAGTAACATCAGAGACTTGAGTGATTCAAATTTATGTGTCAGTGTAACAGAAGTCAGACTCTAAAACCCCATTACCCTAAAGTCTTGCTATATCACGTACTTACTAATCAATAACCATGGATCTACCACTTATTTCGAGTCTGATTTTCCTTTACAGTAATGAGAATTTAAAAAACAGCTACCAAAAAAAAAAGCCACATATAAGGCTGGTTATAAATATAAAATGAAATTAACTTTTAAACAGCATTTATAAATGCTATAGAAATGTCCTGGTGTGGTGCTGTGGGTTAATACATCAGACTGCAAAGTCATTTGAACTACAAGGTAGGCGGTTTTAGCTCTTTAGCTCTCCAGTCGCTACTTGGAAACCCTATACAGGGTCCCTGTGGGTCAGAATAGACTCGACAGCACTTAACAATAGAAATGTTGGGGACTCTACATAATATAAACACTGTACTGTGACCCACAAGGTCCGCGGTTTGAGTCTACCAGCCACTCCACAGGAGAAAGATGAAGATTTCTGCTCCTGCAAAGATTTAAAGCCTTGGAAACCGTATGTAGGGTCACAGTAAGTTAGAACGGACTCAACAGCATACAACAACAACATAGATAAGTTACTTATGTGCTGTGGTGATCTGTATTTCTGGATGTACTACTAGATTTAACAGCACAGTAAAAATTTACCAGGCATCTATAAAGTCGGCGGTTCAAGCTCACCAGTGACTCCTTGGAAAGGCTATACAGGGTCGCTAGGGTCAGAACTGACTCGACAGCATTTAACAACAACAACATAAGACAAGAAAAACTACAAACATCTGATGAGACGGCAAAGCCTTCCTATGCCTGGATGAAACCACTGCCATCCAGTTGATTTCATACAGAGTAATGTGTAGCTGCCCCACAGGGTCCAAGGCTGGGACTCTTTATGAACACAGACAGCCACACCCTTCTTTCTCACAGCAGCTGGTGGGTTCATGACATCAACCTTTCAGTCAGCAGCTGAGAGCTTAATCACTATACATCCAGGGCTCCTCATAATCACTGATTAACAGGCTTATCAATACCAGGTAAAATACAAAGTTCCTAATACATGGACAAGGGACATTCGGAAATTCAAACCTCATATTTACATCTGTATAGATGAAATCTATACAGTTAAAAGATTAATAACTGTTTGAACTTCATAAAATCATCTTTATTTTTCCTAGTAATCTCTAATTTCTAACTTCAGCATGCTAAGCACTGTCGATTCGATTGAGACTTATAGCGACCCTGTACAGGGTTTATGAGGAACAGTTGGTAGATTTGAACCACTGACCTTGTGGTTCTCAGTCCAGTGTTTATCCTACAGCATCATACCAGGAGTCTAGTATACTACACTGAATTTCAATCCCTAACATTGGGAACTCTGTTTCTC